CGCTACCAATTAGGGCTTGATTTATTATTTGGTTAACTTAAGAAGGTGACGGAGGACATGTTAATAGTACAAATTAAACTTAAAAGTGTATCACAGATATATATAGATATATATATATATACACACACATATATATACATATATATATATACCTACATACACATACACATATGTATATGTGTGTGTGTACGTGTGTATACATATATACCCCCTCCCCAAGAGTCTGTTGTTAAACATTTACCAGCATACCTCTGGCTGGAAGGGACCTTTATCAAATCATTAATCCAACTTCCTCATTTTATAGATGAGGAGAATGAGGCCCAGAGAAGGGGAAGCAATTTGAACTCTGATTCTCTGACCCAAAATCCAATGCTCCTTCCACAATACAATTAGTCAGGTGCTTGGAGAAACTGGTTAACCAGCTTCTTCTTGTTATTTAGCTGTCCAGTTAGGCACCTAAACATGAATAAATTTTGGGGGAAATACCCTGGATTCAAATAGCAGATTTCTCACTTAGGAGCTGCGTGACTTTGAGCAAGTAGCTAGACTTCTCTGGGCTTCAGTTTCCATCATCTGTAAAATGAAGGGGTTTGACTCAGTGGTCTTGAAGGGTCTTTGGGGCTCTCCATCTTAGAAGCCTAGGTCCTAGGATCCTAAATTATAAGCAAATTTAAGTTAAAATGATTAGCGAGGGCCAGAACAGTGGTAAGATGGGAAGGGTCTGTAGCAGCCTGTTCATTTTACTGTTTAATTTACACACCGGGTCTAGTAAGGGGGAGGGGGTATAAGACCCCTGGGATCAGTGAGAGCTTTACAGTTTAATCAAACACTTCTATCACAATAACCTTGTAAAGGAAGCATCGAAAGCACCTTAACCTCCATTTTGCAGAGGGAGATAATGAAGGTCTGGAAGATTAAACATAATTTAATCTTTAATATTTAATAATAACTTGTCCCAAGTCATTCAAATAGCCAGTGGAAGAAAGAGGACTAGAACCCGGGTCTCCTGATCACCTGTCCAGTGTTCTTTAAGCTAGATGCTAGAACTTATAAAAAATGAGTGCTCTCCACTTTACAATGAGGCTCTACGTGGGAGGCTGTACAATTATCCCCTTTCTTATATGTACTGCTCACAGGGATTCTGAACTCCCAGGGAAGAGATACCCAGTATCCTCTTTCTTCTTGTTCCTTGTAGAGAAGGAAAGGTAGATCTATTTAACTGGCATTAAGTCACTGGGGAAAGTACCGTGGAAGCGGGCCCTGGAGAAGGACATCTCTGAAATGTCATTCACTTTTATAAGTGTTTCTCAAGTTCCTGCTCTTGTGGAACAAAGCATTGTGTTAGATCCTGGGATCAGAGGGACAGAGACCACATAGTCCCTGACTTCAAGGAGTTACAATTAAAAGGTGGGGGAGCAGCTAGGTGGTACAGTGGAGAGAGCTCTGGCCTTGGAGCCAGGAGGACCTGAGTTCAAATCCGGCCTCAGACACTTGACACTTATTAGCTGTGTGACCCTGGGCAAGTCACTTAACCCCGACTGTCTCACCAAAAAAAAAAAAAAAAAAAGGCAGAGGGAAGGAGGGAAGAGAAGGAAAGTCTACACAGATAACCATGAAAGGAGAGAGAGCTATGGTGGAAAGGAGATACTCTGGGCAAAATACAATAAGAGATTTTATGAGGAAGAAATTGCTTTCAGCTGGTTGGTTGGCAGGGAGGGAGAACCAGGGAAGGTTTCACAGAAGAATGAAACCTGGAAGCAATTGATGTCAACAGAGCCTGGATGGAGGGAAGAGAGAAGGACAGGATAAGTAACCAACTGGAGGTAAGACTGGGCAGATAAGAAAGAGAGAGGAAGATTGTTCTACTTTGACTGAAGTATGTGAAGGGAGATAATATGAGAAGGGAACACTCTGACAGAACTACGTAGGGGCCTTTGTATGTCCGGCCTTCTTGCTTCGCATAGGGTTGGTGCCCTTTGCCGAGTAGGAACGGACTATTTTGATTGCCCATAGCAGGTAATGACACAGGCACACCCCAGAGTAGGTCACTTTGCCCACTGGGACTACTGTTTCCCAGTAACAGCAAACCCCACCATGATGGCATTCAGGCAACAGCCGCTTAGAATACTGTCACAGTAAAACTAAACACATCCCCCCCCTTTTCCCTTCCCCCATGGGTAGTTTCACTTAACATCATGTTTTCTCAGAACCAATGAATGATTTCAGGTGATGAACGACTGCAAAGATTTGCTTGACGACGGAATGCCTCACTTGCCTATCCAGCACAGAGGTTCATGCCGAGACCCAGAGCCTAATGACTTTCAGGTTGTAGGATTCCTTCCATCAGCATGGTGTGACCATCAACTAATGGGACTGGGGTTTTAAGCTACACTCCAGAATTTATCAGAAAGAGTGCTCTCCCCTTCAAAGCAGTTACCAGGGGAGGCTAGACGATTACTCCAACAACAATGCTCTTATTTAAAACATTTTTGGAACTCCCTTTTGGAAATTTCTCCTCCTATTTTCTTTATTTCTTTCAAAGGCACTGGCACAATCCAGTCTCTATCCGTCCTTGACTCCTCATGTTTCCTTCATCCCACACGTTCCCATAAGTGGCCAAGTCTTGTCGATTCTCCCTCACCGACATCTCTCATCTGAGTTCCAGTCAGTAACACTCTCATGGCCACCGCCTCATGCAGACCTTCATCCCCTGGACTATTGTAACATCCTTCCTGCCTCCAATCTACCCTCCACACAGCTGCCAAGTTGACATTCCCAATGCACTAATCTAACCGTGTCATTCTTCTGCTCGAGAAGGACCAAGGCCTCCTGCCTCTAGGATAAAAACAAGCTCCTCTGTTTGGTTTTACAAGCACTTCACAATCTGACTCTAGCCTAGGCTCAGACCTTTCCAGGTTTGCTTGTACACTATTCCTTTTCCTGCATTTATCTTCTAGCCAAATTGGCTTACCTGCTATGCCCATACTAAACATTCCATCTTGAGGTCTTTGCACAGGCTTCCCCCAAAACTATTCTCCCTGCTCACCTCTGCCTCATGGAATCCTAGGATCCCTTTAATCTCTGGCTTTGCCTTTAAAGAAATTTCTCTTTAACTGCATAAGGCCAGAGATAAAGCAGAAAAAAGGCAATGAATGTCAACTGTTAAAACACAATGAAGATTCGTAATGGTATAATTTGTGGTAAATGTTTGCTTTAGAAAACATATGTCTTGGTGCTTTTTTATCTTTTTTTTTTCAGGCAATTGGGGTTACATGACTTGTCCAGGGTCACACAGCTAGTAAGTGTCAAATGTTTGGTCTGAGGCCGGATTTGAATTCAGGTTCTCCTGACTTCAGGGCTGGTGCTCTATCCACTGTGCCACCTAGCTGCCCCTTGGTACTTTTTTAGAACCGCATTAAGTGTGCAGTTTTAATGAAGATTTATTTTAAAATACAAATAATGGTATAGAAATTCCTGGTTATGAATGTGGACATTGAGACAGACACGCCACCGCCACCTGGTGGAGGCACAGCTGAATTTCAAGGGCAGCTGCTTTTATTTTATTTTATTTTTTTCCCGTTTGGGGTTTTTCTTTCTTTTTCTTTTTTTTCCAGAGAAAAGGTGAATAAATCCCTTTGGAAGCTGGATTTCCAGAATTAACTAAAGTCAGAGTTGTAGACTCTTACAGAGCCTGTAAGCCTGTACACAGATTCTGACAGCTGACCTCTGAGATCATCTAGTCAAATTCTCCACTTGACAGAGAAATAACCTGGAGTCCGGAGCAGGTCAGGCACTCACTTGCCCAAGTTTGCATGGCTGCCCAGAGTCAGGACCTAGATGTGACAGCTTCATCCCCCAGGTATGATGGGATAATGAGAGCTAGTGGCAGTCACCAGGCTTAGACTCATTACCCTATTAATGCTTAATGACTAAGGCTGGGTTACAAAGAAACCTGTTCAGGAGCCAGTAGTTAAATTTCCCCCCGTGAGCATTTACACCACAAAAATCCACAAATGCTACAAATCAGGGCTTGACTTATCCTTTGGTTGATTGTCCAGACTTAAGAAAGTGGTAACAAAAATGTTTATGTTGTTCGTTCAGTCATACCTGATACTTGGTGAACTCATTTGGGGTTTTCCTGTCAAAGGTACTAGAGTGGTTTGCCATTTCCTTCTCCAGCTCATTTGACAGATGAGGAAACTGAGGCAAACAGGGTTAAGTGACTTGCTGAGGTTCACACAGCTAGTAAGTATCTGAGGTTGGATTTGAACTTGGGTCTTTCTGACTCCAGGTTCAGTGCTCTATTCACTGGGCAATCTGGCTGCCCTGAAAATGTTGATTATACAGATTAAACTTAAAAGTGTATCATGGGTATATTTTTTCCCAGAGAGATAGTTGTTAAACATTTGCCAGCATGCCTCTGGTTACAAATCCTAAGTTACAAACAATAATGGTTCACACATAAGTTTTCAAAGTGTTTTACAGATGTTATTGGATCAGACAATGGCACAACTATGCCCTGGGAACTGTGTAGCCAGATCTTCATTTCCAGGGAAACTAGTGCCTGGGAGGAAGGGATATTTAGTCATGAGGGATCTGATGGAAATCCTAGGACAGGAGTTCTTAACCTTTTTTTGTATCATGGCCCTCTTTGGCTACCTGATGAAGCCTTTGGACCCCTTCTCAGACCAAAGAACTGAATATATAAAAGTGTCTAGTGAATCCGTTAAGAAGGCCCAAGGTAACGGCAACCCTCAGTTCCAGTACCCTGCCGTCCACACAAAGAGTAGCTAACAACCCAGAGGAAGTCAGGAGAAGAAATCTGCTCATGACAGCTCATTCTTCACTTACTCAGCTTTTATGACTGCACAACTTTATGTCAAACAGGATCTGGGCCTCTGTAGGGTGCATAGCAGGGTTCTGCCCACCTCAAACACAGAGGAAATCCTCTTTCCAATAGAAAAACAGAAGTGCAATGGCCATCTCATTCTGCTACTTACAAAGATCCTCCGTGGATGCTGGAGACAGAGCAGCCATGGACTCATACAGTTCCTCATCGCAGCCAGGATTGAGGGAACATTTCATCAGCAAGTCTGTGGAAAGGTGGGCCATTGACTCATACATGGAGTCATCCTCCTCCCCTTGCATTAACTCTTCCTTAATGTGACTCTTCAGCATGTCCACCGTTTCCTGAAAGAAGAGACAATACCCACCAGGCCTCACTTAAGCTGAAATGGTGCTCTGGGTAGGGCTGCCATCTTGACTACTGACTGGCTACAAAATGGGAAAGAAATTATAAGATGAAAGAAATGTGATAGAGCAAGGCCCTTCGAGATCTATCAAACCAACACTCAAAAGGCGATACATTCTGGGCTTAACTGTTCTCTGGGCTTTGGCTTTCATTCAACAATTCAATTCCAGGGACATTTATTAATTGCCTACTGTGTACTAGGCACTGTACCATATTATATGTTGTTATTGTTGTTCAATTGTTTCAGTCAGGTGTGACCGTCCCTGACTCTATTTGGGGTTTTCTTGACAAAGATACTGGAGTGGTTTGCTATTTCCTTTTCCAGCTCATTTTACAGATGAGGAAACTGAGGCAAACAGGATTAAGAGATTTGGCCGGGGTTACAAAGCTAGTAAGTGTCTGAAGCTGGATTTGAATTTAGGAAGATGAGTTTTTCTAACTCCAAGCCCAGCATTCTATTCACTAGGTCACCTAGCTGCCCTTTCTGGCACATAGTAGGCCCTTAATAAATGTTTATTGCTTGATTGATACGTATAAAAATAAATGTTATATATGGAGGTGGAAAATGAGGGGAAAGAGGGGAAATGAGAGAAAGATAGCATGGCATAGTAGACAATCAGACTTAGAGTCAGAAAGACTCAGGTTCACATTCTGCCACTGAAATGTACTAGCTGGATGACCATGAGAAAGTAATTTAATGTCTCAGTGCCCTAGGCAAATCTCTAAAGCTCTAAGTTACAGATAGGGTGCTAACCTGCATCAGTTTAGAGAGTTTCTGCACCAGGAAAGGTCTAGAAGTGCAGACCAAAAATACGTAACAAATACTTATTGAATAAGTTGAAGATATTATATATTCTGTAGGCTGGTAGCTGGCACAGTGGATAAAGTGCTGGGCCTGGAATTAGGAAGACTCATCTGCCCAAGTTCAAATCCAGCCATAGACACTTAATATCTGTGTGACCCTGGGTAAGTCATTTAACCCTATTTGCCTCAGTTTCCTCATCTGTAAAATGAACTGGAGAAGGAAATGGCAAACCACTCCAGTATCTTTGCCAAGAAAACCCCAAATGGGGGTCATGAAGAGTCAGACATGAGTGAAAACGACTGAACAACAAACACTGTATATTCTAAGATGTTATTTGGTGCCCTAGCATTCCTTCTTCCTTACCCTAATATACGTTCCCATCGAGGTCCTGCCTAAGGTGATAAAACCTAAGTGTCCACCCTACAGCAAGGATCATGCTAGCTATAGTTGTTTCACAGTCCTAGAATAAAAATTTGTACTAGCTGGCCTTCTGCGTCAAGCCCATCCTCCTTAGGTAGGACCCACCTGTCTAATGGTATTTTTCACCACACACCAAGACTTGTCATTGGCTCTCATCAGGCTCATCTCTCCACTGCTTCCTCACTGCCCTCCAACATTCCCAACTCTGACTTTTCTCACATGTTGTTACACCAGCCCAGAATACTTTGCCTACTCCATATCAATCCGAATCTTATCCATCCTTCAAGTCCTGGAGGCAATGAGGTACATCAGAAAGAGAGATGGATTCAGATTCAGACAACCTGGATCTCCAGGTTTGACACTTATTTATTCCCTGTGTAATTTTGGCAGGATCTGAATTCAGTTCTTCCTGACTCCAAGTTCAGCATTTTATATCTTAGTCACCTCCCTCAGGGATATTGTGAGGTACCAGTGAGACCATGTGTATAAAACACTCTGCAAACTTTGAAGCAAGCACTATATTAAATTCTGCTAATTGCCATTGGTACCATCGTCCCCTTTGGGGTTTTGTTGTGCATCCTCTGTAAAATGATGAGAGTGTGTACTTCCCACTCTGAATCTATGATTCCATAATCTTCTACAAAGCCTGTCCTGATTTGCCTTCTACACTCCAGTTACCATCTAGGTTGCACCACCAAAGCCATTTGCTTCTTTATTACATGCCAGAGAATCACAGTATTTGGAAGCAGGAAGGGACCTCAGAGCCCTATCTAATTCATATACCAGGAATCCCCAACAAAAGGTCATCCATCCTCTGCTTGAAAAGCTCCAAGAAGGAGGGACTCACTCCCTCTCTAGGTAGCCCATTACCCTTTGGACTGTGCTAATTGCCTACTACATGATTTTATGGAGAGTTCTAATTGTTTTAGAGGAGCAGCATAGTATAGTGGTTAGAGCACTAGACTTAAAGTCAGGAATACCTGGGTTCAGATCCTGCCTCAGACATTTACTACATATACAACCTGGGCAAGTCACTTTACCTCTGTCAGCCTCAATTTCTTCATCTGTAAAATGGGGCTATCTCTAAGGGTTGTTGTATAGAACGAATGGGATAATCATGGGATTGTTAATCTTGAGCTGGAAGGGACTTTAGGATCTTCTAGTCCAATACTCTCCCCCCTCGCATTTTATAAACGAGGAAACTGAGGTTAAGTGACTTTCCCAATATCACATAGGTACTAAGCGTTAGCAGCAGGATTTGCACCCTGATCCTTTAATTCTAGAGTCATTGCTGCCTCCCCAGATAACACAGATAAAGCTCTCTGCAAACTATAAAGTTCCATATAGATATGAGTTATTATTACTTTAGTAATAATAGTAGTAGTAATAATCATAATGGTAGTAATAGTAGTCAATAGTAATAGTAGTAGTCGTCATGTTAGTAGCAGTAGTCATAGTAGTAATAATAGTAGTAGTAGTAATGGTAGCAGTAATCATAATAGTAGTAATAATCATAGTAGTAGTGGTAGTAATAGTAGTAGTAAGAGTACTAGTAGTCATAGGAGTAGTAATCATAATAGTAATAATAGCAGTAGTAGTCATAGTGGCAGTAATAGTAGTAGTAATAATCATAGTAGTAGTAATAGTAGTAGTTGTCATGGTAGTAGTACTTGCCATAGTAGTAATAAAAGTAGTAGTAGTAGTAATGGTAGTAGTAATCATAGTAGTAGTGGTGGTAATCGTAGTAGTAGTCATAGTAATAATAGTAGTAGTAGTAGTCATAGTGGCAGTAATAGTAGTAGTAATAATCATAGTAATAGTAGTAGGAGTAATAGTACTAGTAGTCACAGTAGTAATAATAGTAGTAGTGATAGCAGCACTAATAGTAGTAGTAGTCATAGCAGCTCTAATAGTAGTAGTAGTCATAGTAGTAGTAATAATCATAGTAATAGTAGTCATAGTACTAGCAGTCATAGTAGTAATAACAGAGTAGTCATAGCAATTCTAATAGCAGTAGTCATAGTAGTAGTAATAATCATAGTAATAGTGGTAATAATAGTAGTATTAGTAGTAGTCATAGTTGTAATAATAGTAGTACTAGTCATAGTAGTAGTAGTAGTTACAGTAGCAGTAATAGTGGTAGTAGTCATCATAGTAATAGTGGTAGTTCTGGTAGTAGTAGTTGTTGTTGTAGCAGTAGTAGTAGTCCTAATGGTCAGTTTCATTTCCCTAATTGGATTAAGTTACTTGAGAACTTAAACGTTTTTTTTTAATTCCCCATAACACTTAGCAATACTAGGAAAAAACAAGGTACTTGATAAATACTTGGTTTATGCCTCATGCCCTGTGGGAATTTACATCTTTAAAACTCTGCACAACTTTACTTTGCAATCAGTTTTTGTAGTTCATAATCTCATTTCAATATAAACCCACTAAAATTCTAATTTTCTTCACCACTGTGTCAACAAGGATGCTAAAAATGGCTTACATTTACATAGAATTTTAGAGTGGACCACACACTTTCCATACAACAAGCCCAGAAGTAGCGCTAGTGTTTTCCCCATTTTGTAGATGAAAAAACTGAGACTCAGGGAGGTTCAGTGACTTGCATGGGACCAAACCAACTAGCACATATCTGAACCAAGACTCAAACCCATTTTTCCTAGCTAGAAAAACTGATGCTTTCCCTCTATTGCATAGTGGCTAATTTGTGAATAACACTGACCCTGGTTCCAAGTATTTGGGGATGGGTGGTCAAATGTTTGAAGTCAATGCTCAGAATTTGGATTTGATGTATAGGAGACAAAAGACCTTTGCAAAATACTTAGGAAGGAAGAGATAGTGTATAGGCAAGGTGGTTTTAATGGCAGGCTCTAAATTGTATTAGATGGAAGATTAGTTGGCCAGAAGAGAGGCTTCAGGGAGGGGGCTGCAGCTGCCCCAGAAAAACGACAAGAACTGAGCTGAGGCTTTGACTGAGTTGAAGGAATTAAAGGGTCAAATTTAGATCTACTGTAAATTCAAAAGACATCTTTAAAATTCACTCTTACGCAGAAATAAATGAAAGAAATTCATCTTACTAAAGAAACAGCTTTCCTTATCCTTTCATTATACTCATGTATAATTTAGTGGAAGGCACCCAGGCAGCATATGTCTGCTCAGCCCTAGACTCATGACTATATATATATATATGTCAGCGTGCATGAAGGCACACACACAGAACCAGTTGTCAGTTAGTTAGTCAATAAGCACTTATTAAGCACCCACTATGTGCCTGAAACTAGACTAGGCACTAGGGAGAGTGTAAATAAGGGTACCTGGCTGAGGAGAGAACTGTCTGTGGGGAAGGGTAAGAGAACACAGAGGCTTTGGGTACATTGGTTCATGTTCTTGAAAGCAAAGACCTTGTCTTAAGCATATCTCCAAAAGATACCCGTCGGTGCTACACTTAGTGGTACATATTAGGGTATACAAAAGAGACCCTTGGGTGATGATGGTGCTAATGACAATGATAGAGTTTAATACAGCGCTTTAAAGTTTGCAAAGTGCTTTAAGTACATTATTTTACTTGGGCCTCTCAATGACTCAGGGGGAGGTACTATAATAGGAGGCTAGGTGACATCATGGACAGGGACCCGGACTTGAAGTCATGAAGACTTGAGTTCAAATCCAGTCTCAGATACTTGCTAGCTGGTAACCCTGGGAAAGTCATCCGACCTCTTTGAACTTCAATTTCCTCATCTGTAAAATGGGGGATAATAGTAGCACCTACCTCATAGGGTTGTTGTGAGGACCATATGAGAAAACATATGCGAAGTGGTTTGCAAACCTTTGTTCAGTTGTTTTTCAGTCATATCTGACTCTTTGTGACCCCCACTTGGGGTTTTCTTGGCAAAAATACTCGAGTGGTTTTGCCATTTCCTTTTCCAGCTCATTTTACAGATGAGGAACTGAGGCAGATAGGGTTAAGTGACTTGCCCAAGGTCGCACAGATATTAAATGTCTGAGGCTGGATTTGAATTCAAGTCTTCATAACTCCAGGCCTGGCGCTCTATTCACTGTGCCACCTAACTGCCCTTGCAAACTTTACAATGCTATATAAATACTAGCTGGTATTAAGTGAGGTAACATGTACTTTGCAAACCTTAAAGCTCCATAGAAATGCTTTTATTATTATCTCCATTTCATAGATTATCATTTATAGCTCATCATCATTATTATTATTATATTGTCTCTGTTTTACAGATGAGGAAACTGAGGCTCAGAGAAGGTAAGCTTTTGTTAAGTGACTCGCATCAAATGACTTGCCCAGGGTCACACAACAAGTTAATATCAGAAACCAGTTTTGAACCTTGGTCTTCCTAATTCCTGGACCATCACACTGCCCAACCCCGTACTGCTTTCCCATGTTTGTCAGGGAGCATGCTTAGGAGCGAACTCTTTCCTGGTACTTCTGAATCCCAAGCCCACGCCCTACCCCAACCTTACCACATATTCGTCGATGAACTGCCGCAGGTCCCTGTAGCCGTGCTTCTCAGCAATGGTGTTGGGGTAGTGACCGTGATTGTTGGCCACGCTATAGGCTTGTAAAGCTCCAGGGCAGGTCAGCAGCAGGGCCGTGAGGTTCTTCAGTCCGTACTTTGCAGCAAAATGAAGCAAGGTGGGCAGCTCCTCATCCCGCTGAGCTGAAGAAACATTGAAGAAAACAGCCTAAGAGATGATGATCATGGTGCTGGACCCTCCTGTTGAACGTTGGAGGCGAGAGGATGGCACCAGCAGAGGAACACAGGAGGGATGCCATTGACACGTGCTCATACTCTGGGGTCAGAGATCACAGGTCCAAAGATGAGACGGCTCTTTGCAGTGAATGCAGGGTTGCTGCTGAGAAAGTGTGTCCTTGACTGGCAGGGGAAATAATGTTAACCTAAAAGGGACCAGCATTCTAAAGTGGTCTTGGGAACCAGGGGTCTTGAGCTGGAAGGGACCTTAGAGGTCATTCAGTCCAACCCCCTCGCTTTCTTTTTTTCTTTTTTTTTTCCTTTTTTTAGGCAATTGGAGTTAAGTGACTTGCCCAAGGTCACACAGCTAGTAAGTGTCAAGTGTTTGGTCTGAGGCCGGATTTGAACTCAGGTCCTCCTAACTTCAGGGCTGGTGCTCTATCCACTGTGCCTCCTAGCTGCCCCCAACCTCCTCACTTTCAAGAGGAGGAGCTGAGAGTTAAACTGAGGCTTTATGACTCTAAGTTCAGCAATCTTTCCATAATACTATACTGCCTCCTAGAAATAATAGTCAAAAAGATCATTAGGAATAATCTATTGTGTTATGACCTGGAGATTTCACAGTACTTCAAAAGCATGATGTGGGGGCAGCTAGGTGGTGCAGTGGATAGAACACTGGCCCTGGAGTCAGGAGGACCTGAGTTCAAATCTGACCTCAGACACATAGCACTCACTAGCTGTGTGACCCTGGGCAAGTCACTTAACCTCAATTGTCTCACCGAAAGAAAAATAAAACCATGATGTATAGTGGTTAGATACCAGAAGTCCCCATCCCACTTTTTCTACCCAGTTGTATATTGTACATACAGTGTGATGTTGGGTATTTCATTTAAACCCCTTAAGCCCTAATTCCCTCATATTGAAACACAGGGATAGCCTTCTCCCCAAAGGAACACCACAGGAATTAATGAATCAATGTCCATTAAGATATAGGCCAGTATGGGGTAGTGGGAAAAGCCCTAGATTTAGAGACAGAGGAATTGACTTTGAATCCTGGATCTATCACTTGCCACACTTGTAATTTTGGGCAAATCACACCACCTCTCTGGGCCTTAGTTTCCTCATCTGTAAAATGAAGGGTATGGACTACAGATTTAAGGTCCTTCCAGGTTTGACTCCTATGACAATTTGTATTTTCCTTATGGGAAGGACTTTACACAATTTAGCTTCTAAAGGTCAGGGTGCCCCTCTGGATCATAGCTTTAACTAAGCTGTACAAACCAAGTTGAACTTGTGCTTTGGTGAAGAAGTGGGAATGAAGCTTGAAGACCAGTAGAGGCCAGAGCTGAGGAATGGATTAATTTACCAATAAAAACAGATAATGTACACCCAGTGATTTTGGACTACGAAAATGATCTTTTCCCTGAAAAGGGCCTAATCTAGGATCCTTCACAGCATAGGTTATGACCATCATGGATGAAGTTCCTAAGAACACCCCCACATATTGCTCACGGTTATACCAGGAACCCAAGGGTGTGCTAGAACCATCTCATACTGAATCACAAGAGCCGGTTGTTAAATTATCAGTGTGAGCATTTACACTTTGGAAATCAAGCCAATTAAGGCTTGATTTACTGTTTTGTTGAGTGTCTGAACTTGTGAAAATGATGGGGGAAATGCTGCTTATGCAGATTAAACTAAAAAGTGTGCCTGGTATACATTTTCCCCCTGCCCCAGGAGCCATTTGTTAAATAGTTACCAAGCACATCACTACATGAAATCTATTAAGGAAAAGAGCACTGAACTAGCAATCAGGAGACTTGAACTTCAAGATTAGATCTATAAGGATCCTTCTCTATATTCTATGAGTTTACAAGATTTCATAAGTAAAAGACAGGGGCTAGATGAGTGATTTCATTGGTATAAGGGCCTCTTGATTGAAGAAACTCCTTCAGCCAATGTAGGCCGGCACCTTCTTTGCATTTTACAGTCTTCAGGAGTTGCCTAGAGCACTAGAGGGTCACTCGGCTAAATATGAGTGAGAGGCAGAATTTGAACCCAGGTCTTGGGGCTTCAAGACCAGCTTTCTGTCCACTATGCCACACTCCCTCTCATGAGTCTATGATTCTAAGTTGAAGGGCTAAAATGATAATAATAGGTAATAATAATTATAAATAACATGTACATAGTGCTTCCTATGTGCTAGGCACTGGGCAAAGCACTTTACAATTACTGTCTCATCTGATCCTCACAACAGCCCTGCTATCATTAGCCCCATTTGACAGGTGAGAACACTGACTAAGGATGGTCAGTTCTAATCAGCAGGCGGGAGTTTGCATGACCCTGGTTCCCATCTGTATACTCACTGGTCATCATATCTTCTTCTTCTAACTGGTTGATCCCAAACAGATGCAGCCCGCTTGCAGGAATATTCTTCTTCAGAGACTCAGTTAGAAGCTTATCAAGGGTTTCAATGTTGTAGGGCACAATTTTAAAGGCCTGAACATAAAAGTGAAGACAATCAGCTTGGAGGTCACACCAACTTACCAAAAAGAGAGCACGCTATTTACCCCTAATCAGCTCCTCTACCCCCCAAAAAGCTTGACTTTCTCTGAATAACCTTACCTGGCACATGAACTCTACGGGATTGGCTGCACCGGCCAACAGGTTTCCAATTTCCTCCATGTCAGTATAATAGTGGACAGTTGCTTCACATACCACTAGGTCACCTGAATAGACCTTCAGAGAAACATCTCCTGAAGATAAATCTGAGCAAAAAAGAAAGACCCCGAAGGTTAGGAAATGGGAGTAATCTAAGGCAGAGCTGGAGTTCATGAGTTCAGGGGTCCATGTAAGCTCTGTGTTGAGGTTTTTGAAATGAGCTTGGGGCTGGAAAGGAGAATTTGGGGGGGTGATGGGAGTAGAGATAGGGAGGAGCTTTGCTCACACACAGGATAGCTCATTGCTAGCTCTGTTCTTGGGCTTAAAGACTCAGGAACTCTCTGAGACTCAACTAAGTCACTAGTTAAAACTCACTGGAAAAGAAAGTTGGTTGCTTTAGGTTGCTGGCTAGAAAAAGAAAAAAAAATCCCTAGATAATTAAGTTTTATCAGTGTGAGTACTATCTCTTCTAACAGACCTCAGCCCCTTTCTGCCTTAATAATATAATATCTGACATTTCTAGTACACTATAATGTTGGAACCAAAGAAAGAAATAAGCATTTATTAAGCACCTACTATGCACCAGGCACTGTGCTAAGTACTTTATAAATATTATCTCACTTGATACTTGTAACAATTCTGGGAAGTCGGTATTATTATTATCCCTATTTTACAAATGAGGAAACTGAGGCAGACAGTAGTTAAGTGATTTGCCTTATAGCTAGTAAGTATCTGAGGCTACACTTGAACTCAGATCTACCTGACGCCAGGACACTGGGCCCTCTAGCTGCATCTGACAAAGTACTTCTGTAATGCTCCTCTTTGATCTTTATAATCACTCTATTAGGTAGTTATTTTATTATTATCCAAGTTTTACAGATGAGGAAACTGAGGCCCAGAGAAGTTACATGACTTGCCCATGGTCACACTGCTAGAGTCAGAGGCAGGCTTCAAGTCTAGGTATCTCCTGACTCCAAGTGCAGCAGGATAGCATAGCATCCTTCATGGTGTTCCTCCTAAATGGGTTTGTATGGGATCTGCCAATTCACTCTCCTTGCTATTATCACCAATGCCACATGGGCTAATCCAAACGATGAGATCAGCAGTGTGTTGGAGCTGAGAAAACTGATTGCTAAATTTCCAGAAAATGATATAAATCAGGGCTTGATTTATTCTTTTGTTGATTGTCTAGACTTATGAAAGGGGTAGGAAAAATGTGAATAATACAGGTTAAACTTAGAACTGTGGCATGTATAGCCCCTTTCTCCCCTGGAGAGCCGGTTGTTAAACATTTATCAGCGCACTACTAGTGGGATTCTAACACTACAATCTAAAGTTACAGAGGGATTTTTAAAACCTACGAAGCTTCTCCTTCCCCCAAAAGAGATAAGGTCATTTCTAAAGCTATTTCTTTGGGGACCTGAACTTCCTTTTCCTTTAAGATATTAAGGTACAGTAGAAGGAACTCAGGATCAGGAATCTGATTTGGTACCTACTCCTTTTCAGTCACTCTCTAGGCCAGATCATTTAACCTTGCTAAACCTCAGTTTCCTCCCATGTAAAATAGGGATATCAATAGCTGCCTGGAGAAGTAATAGAAAAGAGTACTGGTCCTGGCATCAGGAAACTCAGGTTTCAATTTCAGCTGATAGCTTCCTGTGACATCTCCATGGGCAAGTCATGTAAATTCACTGGGCCTCTATTTGCTCTTTTACATAAGATCAGGATGATTCTATGGGCACTAGCTTCCTTATAGGGTTTTATATAGAAAATACTTTCTAAACCTTAAAGGGATCTATAAATATGTCATGATTATTATTACCTCATTAGGTTGTTGTGAGGCTTAATCAAGTCTGGTTTATTTATTCATTTGTTTCTTGGTTCATCCATTAATTCAATAAGTATTTATAAAATACATTCTCTATATTAGGAACCATACCAAGTGCCAGGGATACAACAATAAAAACAAAACAGTTCCTGCCCTCAAGGAGATTACCTTCTATTGTGAGGCAGGGGGTAGGACTAATGTACACATACATGATGTCCCAACTGTCTTAGTGTGACTACACTTGGGGCCAAAATGATATTCCTAAAAAACAGGCCTGAAAAAAAAATAAACAAATACAAACAGGCCTGAAAAAAAAATAAACAAATAAAAACAGGCCTGCCTATTCTCCTGCTCTAGAAGATCTTAGGGTTCTCTATTTCCTCTAAAATAAAATAAAAATTAATCTGTTTGGCATTTAAAACTCCTCACTGTCTGGTCTGCACTTAGTGCGGTTGCACTAAGACTTTTGGGACACTACCTAAAAGAGATTCTAAATAGAAGCAAAATGAAGATAGAATATTAGAAAGAGGGGGCCTGGTAGTGTGAAAAGTCCCAGAAAAGACTTTGTACTGGAGCTGACCCTTGAACTGAGCTTGGATGAACACTAGGTATTTGAAGGCAAAGTGAAGAGGGAGTGAGTGCATTCCAGATGTGAGAGACAGCCTGCGTAAAGGCAAAGAATGGAGATGGACTGTCTTTGTAAACTGATAAACAATGCATACAGAGTGTTTAGCTCTTATTATCAATAACAATACTCAACCATCTAAAACATTGGCTACAGGGTTCTTGAGTTGCTGAATTAAGGAAGGGAGAAGTAATTGAGTGGAATCCTGCTTCCTGAACATTAATTTAAGTTGGTGGCATGAAAAAAGATCCACTTACCAGGCGCCTTTATAGAAACTGTGTATTCATTCTCCAACTTGGCAACCATGCGTACTGAAGGGGAGTTCTCAGGAGAAAATTCGGCTTCTGTTTTCACTTGGCTATCCAGCTTGCATTTCACAATAACATAAACTATTGTGTGAGCCTTAAGGGAAGACAAGTGAATGGATCCTGTTTCCTTACATATTTTTCAATTAGAAAGCTGTTCGGGGTGCTCGGTAGCTAAGTGCTGGTGCTTCCACCTGGAGTTGGCCCTACATCAGGCAGCTCCCCTAGATTCTAGTCCTGATCACTGTTACTCAGAGTGGGGAAACTGATTCTCAGTTGAGCATCCGTTTTCCTCTTCTATCATACCAGGAGACAACAGCACCTCCTACAACACCCATTCCCTAAGAGCCCTCAGGGAGAACACCTTGCTTTCTGGGTCTTTCCATTAAAATACCAAAATCTCATTCATTTCTTATGGCTAAGTAAGTAGCTCTCTCAGACTGTGAACATCTTTCTGCCCAAATAAGGCAAATTTTATAGATCTAGTCACAAATTATCACTTAGCTTATTGTATACATTTTTCTATAAAGTTCCTCCTTTGTCCCAGGACCATGAGGAGGGTATGGCAAAAGTGGATTTTTACTTCTGGTAAAGTGTCCTGTTTCTGATACAGGTGACTGCTAGATGGGGTTAGGACTACAACTTTGCCCCCAGCGTAGTCATATCTCATCATTTAATCAATAACAATCATCTAGTACACATTATATTCTAGGCACTGGGAACATAAAGGCAGACAAAAACATGGTTCCCTACTCTCAAGGTATTTAATGGAGGAAACAACATACAAACAACTATGTACATTTTATCTATCTTATCTATCCATCCATCCATCTATCCACCTGTTTGTCATCTATCCACCCACCTATCTATCCATCTATCTATCATCTATCTATCTATCCATCTACCTATCTCTCCATCATCTATCTACAGAGTAGATGTAACGTAATCTCAGAAGAAAGGCTTTAGCAGTGGAGGAGGTAAAAGGGAAACCAAGAAATACCTCTGGCAGAAAGTGGGATTTGAGCTGGTTCTCGAAGGAAGCCAGAAGGCAGAAAGGAGATGACCGAGCATTCTACCACCACCTTTCTCAAAGTCACATGGAATGAAGTTTCTAGGAAGGGTTAACTAAGGAGGAAAATGTGGTTTCCTGAGACTTTTCAGCAGAGTGTAATAAGGCACTTACCCCACAACGAATTCGGTCTGGCTGCACCACCATTAGGTTCCCTGGTGTGGTCTCCTGGTGCCAGTTCTTCTGAGTAGAGGAAATATGCTTAGAGCAAGGAAGGGTCTTTTCGTCTTCGGCCTCGGTGTCCGTGATGGAGTCACAGCCAGAATCTGTGGGTAAAAGGACATTAGCTCATGAGACGAGCAAGAGGAAGGAGAAACATAGAGCTCATGTTCCCCTTTGATCATTTCCTCACCTCCCCACCTTTCTTCCCCATGAAAGCCCCAACACATTACCAAATGGGAAACCACTCAAAATGTTAAACAAATAAACAACAAAGTAAGCAAATCGAGAAATTTGGAAAAAGGACTTGGGGGGGAAGGGGAGGGGAAGAGTGTGACATGCTGAAAAGCTGTGCTGTCTTACAGGAAAGGCAATTAGTGTGCAGAAATGGCGGACGAGATACCGACTGAGCCTATCAAGGGCCCATCAATGTGCTTCTTAATTGCCTCCCCTCTGCCCCTTTGCTAAGGGCTGGCTCCTACACTGATCAAGCAAGCAAACAACAAGCATTTATTAAGCACCTACTATGTGTGAGGCATTACACTAGGTCCAGGATAAGGGAGGAAATACGCATTTATTAAGTGCCTAATATGTGGTAGGCACTGCCCTAAGCACTTTTACAAATATTATCTCATTTGATCCTCACAACAACCGTATGAGTTCACTGTCGAAGAAACCAAAGGTTAAGGGACTTGCCCCAGTTCACACTACTAGTAAATGTCTGAGGCCAGATTTGAACTTGAGTCATCCTGACTCTAGCCCTCTTTCTGCTTTACAACCTAACTGCCTTGGCTAGAGATTCAAATACAATCAATGAATCAATTCTCATTTCCAAGGAGCTTATAGGAACCACACCAGACAACAAAGAATTTTACAAGGATGTATGCTGGGGAGATGTTTCAGCCAGAGAAATAAATAGGTGGTGCTAACTATTTTCTGAAGTCATGTCACCGGCTTCCAGATTAAACCTACTTGGGATAGGCAAATAAGGTTTGCTGAAGCTGGAACCATAAAGGATCTCAGGATTGGTGCTGGTCTCCTGGCTCCTGGTGGTAAGCCATCATTCTTGTCATCTTGCCCTCCTCCGTCAGGGCCTGTGCTTCTCTTAGTTTCCATTGGCCTATGTAGTTGTATATCGCACTCTACTCCTACCGCTCCTGCCTAGATCTCCCCGTGACTGTGGAGACTTTCAGCCTCCAGACTTGTTCTCTCTTCTTGGACTTACATCCTCTTTCTCTTCACCTTGATCCCATTCCTTCCACCCCTGAGCCTCTCTTGATTGCTGTTTGCCCAACTATAGGGTCACATATACCACTCTGCCCCTGTACCTCCTGCAGCTCTCCCACTGGCTACTTATGGGGACATTGGTTCTCTGCACCTGTTCTCGATTCTAATCCTCAGATACTCTCTTTTTTTCCCCCTTATTGCTTGTCTGGCTTCTGACTACATTGTTGTCCTCACACCCTATGTTCCATGGATACTTACATCTGGTCCCTCGATTGCCTGCTGTTCCTGATATATCACAACACACTATATAAGTGCCAGGTTATCTAACATAGTTTGCAAATGCTAGAGGATACAGATGGGGTGACTGTTTATGCCCCCAAATAAGAGATAGGAATAGATAACTATGGGGTACAGAAGAGTTTGGAATTGATCTGACATATAAGAGACTGTTGATCTGTCATACAACACTATGAGGTAAAGTTAGTTAGGAAAGAATTTATGGATGTGATGGGATTTAACTTAAAAGTCAAAAAGTATTAAGTTGACCTAGGCCTTAAAGAAGGTATAGGGAAATGGTGTGGCAAGTTAACAAATCAACAAACACCTACTATGTGTCAGGCACTATGCCAAGTGCCAGGGACACAAAGAAAGGCAAAAAACAAACAAATAGTTCCTGCCCTTAAGGAGCTCACAGTCTAATGAAGGAGGCAATATATATCACACACACATACACATACATATCACATGTAGGACATATTTACATGTATCACACATGTAATACATATAATATATACATATATAAATAAGTTATATGCAGGATAAATTGGGTATAACTTTAGAAGGAAGACATGTACATAGGAGACAGAACCTGGACCATTGGTCCAGTTGTGCCAGAAGAAGATTGTCCTTGCTCCTAATAAGGTGGGATGGAGAAGTGGCATAGTTCAGTTCACCTAAGGAGGATGTGACCCGCCCTTTCTCCAACCTCCACCAGCCAGGCATGCTCCTAATTCTGATCCCTCTCCTGGGACCCACCAGAACCCCAGCCCCATGGAGATAACAGAAGATGGCAAGGCCCAGGCCCAGATGGCTCTGGCCACTGCAGAGAGGAAGCATGCAGCCCCCTCCTGGATGTAGGTACCTGGAGCAATGGGGGATGTAGGCACCCCACCCTGGTTATGGCTTCGTGTACTTCCTAAGGTCACTCTGTATTATACAAAGACTGACTTCCTGTTTAGGTACAGGTTGGACTAGCTGCCACACAAGATCCTTTCTAATTCTGAGATTCTATGAACAAAAATAAAGGCAGAGAGGGAAGAGAAAATGGTAAGTGTGTTTTAACAGGTAGTGGGAAGACCGGCTTGACTAGAACAGAGTGTGTGTGCTAACAGGAGGAAGGAATTAAGATTGAAAAAGAAAGGTGAGAGCCAAGGGGTGATGAAAGACAGTAGAGGGCTGTTGCAGAGCCTTCTACAGGGAAATGACATGAAAGCAGTGGTTTAGAAATCTGCTAGCAGTGTGCAGGATGGATTAGAATGGCAGAGGTGAGAGGCACTGGAATGGCCACCTAGAGAACATCTGCTTGCTAATTGGAAGTAGACGCTAACAATGCTTTTTGGTCAATGTCAAAAAATTCAATTAGACAAAATGTTAAATGATAGAGAATATAGAGTCAATATAGGCAGTGTGTCTACAGATTTAGATCAGGGCATGGTGTTATCATGTGACTTGTCACAGTGGGATATGGTCAAACAGGTGGGTCCAGTACGTCCAAAATACGCTATATTGTTATTGTCGTTCAGTTGTTTCAGGCGTGTCTGACTCTTTGTGACTCCATTTGGGGTTTTCTTGGCAGAGATACTGGAGTGGTTTGTCATTTCCTTCTCCAGCTCATTTTACAGATGAGGCAAACAGGATTAAGTGACTTGCCCAGAGTCACACACTAGTAAGTGCTTGAGGCTGGATTTAAACTCAGGTGTTCAGTACTCCAGGCCTGCACTGGCCCTAAAATATACTATATAGGGCAAGACTTTTTCACCTGGAGTCTATGATCTTGTTTTTTACAAACTATTTTGATAATTATATTTCAACATAATTGGTTTCCCTTGTAATCCTATGCATCTGATTTTATTTTAAACATTATTCTGAGAAGGAGTCTATGAGCTTCAAAGAGGTCCATGGCACAAACAAAGGTTAAAAACTCTTGGTGTAGGGTATGCAAAGGGGAGTATTAGGAGATGGTGGGGGAGGAGTCTGGACCTATGATTTCATCAGCATAGGGAACTTCCAGGGTGGTAACATCCTCTATTGATACAGATCAGCCACTCCTAACTTAGGGGTTTAGAGAGTTGCTTGTGCTACTTGGAGGGGGTGGGAAGGGGAGGCAGTAAGAGTGTCAAATTATACAGAGGAGACATTCTTTCAGAGGGGTACTGAATGATAAATCAGAGGGAGAAAATTCATGGATAAAGGTATGTATGAGCTTTGGTTGTTGTCAAGGACTTCAATAAATGCTTTGCAGTTGGGGAAGTAAATTGCTTCCAAAAAATGATTCCAATGTACACAAATGCAATCTTATAATTAGTCACTTCGTGAGAACTGGGATCTTGGGTGACAATGGGATGTTGGTTTAGACCAACTGGGGATGGTGGATAGTCAGTGTAGATATGGGGTCATGGCTGGAAAGACCCAGCAGACTCCAGAATCCAAGAGTTCCATGGAAGCCGGAGGAAGTAAACAGTTTAAGTGAGTAGACCAAAGAAACCCTCTTTTAGCCTTAGGAAGAATAGAGGCAACTAATACATTCTAGACAGTGAGGCCAAAGTCAGTGTCTCACGGTCCGGTTCAGACAAAGCTGAACCTCTCTGACTTGCCTGGACTAGCCCGGCAGTCTGATGACATTGGCCTCCTTGCAGTTCCCTGCAGACAACACTCCATCCCCAGGGGTGGCGAATTTTCACTGGCTACCACCCATGACTAGAATTCTTCCCTTCTTCACCTCCATCTCCTGGCTTCCCTGACTGCCTTTTATCACAACTAAAATCCTACCTTCTGTAAGAAGCTTTGCTGATCCCCCTTAATGCTTGTGCCCTCCAGTTAAAATCATTTCCAATTTGTTTTATATTTGTATGTGTATGAATATATGTTTACACACAGATATCTATATATATACATATCTATCTACCTATCCATGTATCTACCTACCCATGTATCTATCTATCTATCTATCTATCTATCTATCTATCTATCTATCTTTCTATTTTTCTGTCTGTTGGTCTATGCACACACATACATAGGCAGCTAGGTGGCCCAGTGGATAGAACCCTGGGGCTGAGGTCAGGAAGACACAAGTTCAAATCTGGCTTACTATCTGTGTGACCCTGGACAAGTCATTTAACTTCTGTCTGCTTCAGTTTTCTCAACTATAAAATGGGGATAATAATAGCATCTAACCTTTCAGGATTGTTGTGAGGATCAAAATGAGATATCTGTAAAGTACTTAGCACAGTGTCTGGCATATAGTAGGCACTCTCTAAGTGCTCATTCCCTTCCTCATCCCTTGTTTATACACAGTTGTGTGCAGGTTGTTTCTTCCATTGTACTTTGAGGTTCTTGAGGGCAGGGTGTTTTTGTCGTTGTTGTTTTGCCTTCTCTCTATCCCCAGAAAATAGCACAATGCTTGGCCCATGGTAGGTGCTTAATAAATGCTAGTTAGCTTGACTCATCTAGAAACAGAAGTCAAGTTTTCTTCTAATTCAACAGATGTGCATTGATCACTTCCTATGTACAGAGGACAGGAGCAGGTACTGAAGGAGATGTGCAGATACACAATACTCAGCCCCTTTCCCTCAGAGCCTCCAATGAATTAGAGGAATAGGCT